GCATGGGGTGGAAGCACGTTGCTGCATGGATGGGTTTAGGGTTTAGGGTTTAGGGTTTAGGGTTTTGGGTTTAGGGTTTAGGGTTGAGGGTTTAGGGTTTAGGGTTTAGGGTTTGCAGGCCTACACCATGTTCGAAGGTTCAGGGATAGTTGCAAACTGTGAGTGGATACACATCGGCACCCTAACTTCCTGCCCTGCCTTTCCACACCGAGGAACCTCCGAGAAAAGCCTCCAACTCTGCCCAGCCCGGAGCGCGACAAACGCCAGCTCCGAAGAAGTCTTCTCATCACTGCCCTGGCCTTGAGGAATCGGGCCTTTGCGGTGTATCATACTATAACTGTAATAAGGAACCCCCCAAATAGTAATGGCCTTCTTCAAGGTCTTCTCCTTCACTCCACGGTCCAGGACCATGCCTCAGGCTGCTGTGAGATATCCGCAGCATCCTCATAGCAGCAGGAGTGGCAAGAGTCACCACATGGCCAGCAATGGAGCCCCCATCCAACATAGCAGAAATGACGAGAGCTCTGAACACCGCCATCGTGATGATGACGATGATGACTATGATGGTTGCTCAGCTTTAACGCCGGCAATGACGGCGGAGAGATGATAGGGTGACCCTGCTGAAACGACGAGGTGATGGAGGCACAGTGGAATGACGATGAGGTGCTGCTTTTGCAGACAAGGATGCATGTTATGTTGATGTTTTGAGGACCAAAGCTGCAGGCAGGTCACGGAAGTCGGTGAGGCTCAGCCTCTTCACAGGCATCATGTGGCGGCGGACCTGGTCAAGTTGATCGGGTCGTTGGAAATCCCGAGGTGAGAGCTATGTAAGACAATAGCGGCGTCAATCTTCCAGAGCAGCTTCTCACATGGAGGCGAATGTTGAGGATACAGAAGTGGCAGACAGGCTGGTACTTTGAACCCGATTCTCGCAGAGCCCTTCCAAGGTTTGGTGCCTCTTCTCGAAAGGTGTTTGACCCTTCTACGGAGGCTCTCCAGCCCTCTTTCCGGGATCCCCGGCTCCGGTCAGGCTCTCAGGGCCATCGACGACGACTCCTTGGCGTCCAGGGCGAGGGAACCGGGATGAAGAGGGCTCGTGCCACTGACCCTGTGCCAATACAGCCGGCATCCATGAAACCGCGACGAAGTGTGCCCTCGAACTAGCATAACGGTAGTGGCAGGTTTTGCCTTTTAGGGCTGCACACCGAAACGTCTGCAACTGTCTAGTCGTCAGATATGCGTCGCTTCTGATCCACGATGTCCACGATGGTGCACCTTGCTGAGAACTCCAATGCACTACAAAAAGGAACAACAAGTCAAGCCAGAATCCTCCAGACATGACGGGCTCTGGATCTGTTCAGGATAATGCTCGGCGTGCAGCTCTGTCAAAAGTTCTCCACTCGTACACGAGGCCCAATCACATGAATCCAATTCAAAACCTTCGGCAAGACAACACCATGATTGGCCCTCTCCCACTCAGTTGCGGCACATCTTCCCGGCGCACGGGCCTTGGATCGGACAAGGAATGCGTGAAAACTCCGAGGCTGCGCATGGCTTCTGCCCCAGGGCGGGACGCCAGCCCAGCAGAAGCTTTCCGATCCAGGAAATGCAACATCTGAGATCCATGCCTTCTGCACATCTCCATTTCTACGTCCGATAGGACCGTCAGCCCCGGAATCCCCGTCACCCGAAACCCCCGAAACTAAACCCTAAACCCTAAACCCCCATCACCCTAAACCCCCGAAACCCTCAAAAACTCAAAAAGGAGGACGAGGAGCCGAAGGTGATGAGCGCGAGGCGGCCCGGCTGCACGAAGCGGGTGAACATAGACTTCTGGGCCATCTTTGCCTGGGAGCTGGTCTGTACAGTTTATGTGACATACAATATAGAATACCACATACTAGAAAGTAGACCGTATTCCATAATTTACTAAACTAAAACCATATGTGGGTTTCACTCAGGGGCGGGGGGAGTGTGTCTTTTGAGGCAGCTTGAGGGCTTCCCTTCAGAAGGCCAAGGCTTAGGGTTTAGGGTTTAGGGTTTAGGGTTTAGGGTTTAGGGTTTAGGGTTTAGGGTTTAGGGTTTAGGGTTTAGGGTTTAGGGTTGGGGATGAAGCTTCGAAGGAGCGACAAACCGGCAGCTTCGAAAGTAGGAGATGACTTTCGCCCGGCTGAGATCCAAAAGTCTGATAGTATAACCCTGTTAAAGTAATAGTATACCACTCTTTCAACACCAAAATCCAGAACCCCTGTTGTAGTAATATTCCAATACTATCCTAGTAATATTATGATACTCTTTTTTGCAAAATACGATGAGAACCCTCTTAGTAATAATGTGTGATACCCTAAACCCTAAACCCTAAACCCTAAAACCTAAACCCTAAAACCTAAACCCTGAACCCTAAACCCTAAACCCTGAACCCTAAACCCTAAACCCTAAACCCTAAACCAGTATGAAACCTCCTTGTCAGAAGCCGGGGCCGGGCTTCCCTGCAAGCTGCTCTTCGGAGAGAGTGAGCACCGTGACGTTTTTGAGCTCAAACGGCTGGTGAACAATGATAGCGTATATAATATTGTATAGTATAGCCCAATATTGTATCGTATAGTATAATATTACATATATATATATATATATATATTCATGTACATAGATACATATGTATATATAATATATATATATATATATAGAATATATAATATATTTGTAACTAAGGCTGTTTGCGGCAGACGGAAAGGTGTTGAAAGGCTTGCGCTTCAGATTTCATTCGGATGCCGGGCAGCTTGAAAAACTCGGCAGTCTAAGGTCATGTGGGTCTAAGGTTGAGGAAGTGGTTCTGGCTATTTCAGGCTCCGGAATGCAGGTCGAAGCGAGCTTAACTGTTGCCTCTAGCTCCTCCTGCACTCCTTCGAACTCGTGAGAGACTGATCTGCATTGGAATGTGGTCGATCCAGATGGCGGCCGATCCTAAATCCGAGGCCAGCTGTCTTTGTATCTCCGCAGCATCTGCCACCACTCAAGCCCGTTCTTCACACTGTTGAGACCTGGCAGACGCAATGCGCAATGCTGAAGACGCCGAGGGCTTCAATAACGTGTGTCCGCGGACTTCGATGCCAAGAAGGACACGCTCCCACGACACAATCTCAGCCCGACCTAGTAAAGTCAACTGTGAATCCTTGTCCTCAACCCAGGAACCGCTTCCCTCTTAGCCGCTTGCCCTAGCCCGAGCTAGCTCCAAGGCCTTGCAGTCAAAGTCGCCGCTGCCTACTTCTTCAGAGCCTGGCGGAGGAAATCATCGAAGCGTCAGGTCATGAGGGCGAACCATATCCTACTATTATATTATACTGTACAATGTTATATACTATATAGTAGTATACTACACTATACTATGTTATACTATACTATATAGTATTATACTATACTATACAATAGTAGGTTCAGGGGAGCAGAAGTTTCGAGCTTCTGCGTGTGGGAAGTCCTGCGGCGACGGGCACTATCCTTCACCGGTCGAGGGAGCGCACTTGGAGGATCATGGGACTTAGTAAGTGAGGTTACAAGTCCCTTAATTGGGGTTATAAGTATAGTTACCCTAATTATAACCCTACTTACTAAGTCCCATGATCCTCCAAGAAGCAGCGATGCGCAGCTAAGCGCAGCTGCTGGCTGCTGGCTACCATAAACTGATCGAACGAACGAGCAAACAAGTAAACCAAATAAGTATATGGATGTAGAGGTACTTGAAAATATACACATAGCTATACAAACACAGGACATATGCATGATCACCATCATGATGGTCATCAACAAGTTGTTCAGCAGATGACTCTCTCTGTGTAGCAAAATCCAGAGTTCCTTCTCCGACAAACACCGGGCCAGTCCTCCGTCTCAGTCCCAAAATACCCGAAAACAACTGGAGGCCCGGCTTGGTGAGGCGCAATGTCGGGGCCTTAACAATTGAAATAGGGTTTTGGAGCCCGATATACTATACTTATAATAAGAAAAACCCCAAAATAGTATAGGTAATTATTTAGGCTTCTATATTAGGGTGGAATGTCAAGTGCACTGGGAGCAAACACTATGAAACAGCTGTGTGACACGACCGCAGCCCCATCCGGTTCTGAGATTTCTCAGCTCCATTAAGCGGGCAGCTTTCGTTCTATCCACATGCTGTGGGGAACTATTACAGTACTACTGTATTCTAGTACCATTATACTAATACTCTAAACCATTTTTTATAGAAATCTTTCAATACTATTATGGCACCATTTCATTAATATTATGATTCCATCATAGCAATCAGAAACGTAGTATCCTCATTATACTCCCCTCCCGCAGGCCTTCTTCACTGCCTTGGAGCGGGCAGTGCGCGCCTTCGCGACCTGCGATCACCATGGGCCATGAGGGGTAATATAACCTAGTATAAGCATAAGATACGGTAAGAGGGGCAGCGAGGATCTGAGGCTCTGAAGAGAAGAGTGCGGTTTGGTGAATCGGTTGGGGTGCCATAGCTGGAGGTTTAGGGCACGCAGAAAGCCATGGAGGAGTCGGGCTTGGCACAATTGCCTTGAGGCTAAGGGTCCACAGCTAGGCTGGAGCAGCTGCACCTCTCCCAAACCCGAACTTGCGCCATTACTTCCCGAGGGCCCCGGACCCCTGAACATCTACAATCAGGGTTTAGGGTTTAGGGTTTAGGGTTCAGGGTTTAGGGTTTAGGGGATTTGGTAGATCCAGGACTTTCCAGGTCCACTGTCTGAGGAGAGGCCCGGGCCCGAAGCAGCGAATGGGGAAACTCCCCGCGGATCTACTACATTAGAATGTGTCTAATAAGAAACCCTATAGAGAATAACGTAAGCAATGCTTTAGGGTTCTATATTACGGAAAGAAGCCAACACAAAGCCCAAAATCCCGCGCCCATCTCCTTGAAGCGCTCGAAGTCTGTCATGTTGGCCCTGGCCTCCTGAAAGCAGGAGTCGGTACACCCTGGATTCAGAGATGTGAGGCTTGACCGGCACGGCGTGGGAGTGGTGTCGGCAGTTTGCTGATTGTTGTAGCAAGCGAAGCAATGACATATAGCATATTCGAACTGCCTATCTACCTGTCGTTCTCTCGGGTCACGATATGAATACTACTTGTTGCGATGAGCTTCTCAGCATGGCCCTGGTACCCACCCTTGTCAGCGGGGCCTCCGAAAGCCGCGACATGTGCATAGACCTACTATCTTTCATGCCCCTTCGTGTTTCACAGTGCTGCAGATACTTCAAGGCTGATATTTCTTCCAAGCCCCCACCCAGAACCCTTAACCCTAAACCCTAAACCCATCGACTTCCGCTTCCCAGACACAGCCGAAACGGCTTGCCTTCGCCTTCATCTTCTTGGCCCAGGCGGTCTCGGACCACCTCGGATCCGGCGCTTGAGAAAGGAACCTCAAAAAAAGCCCCCAGAGACTCCAAAACCCCTGAATTGAAGAATATACCTTAAATTATAATAGGATCCCTAATATGATTGAAGGTATATTCCTTAATTAAGGGGCTTTGGAGTCTCTGGGCCTCATAGAGTTTAAGTCGTCCTTCTAAGCGCTACTGCTGGCACTTTCCCGAGTAATGCCATTGTTGTGGCGTAGTCGGGGTTGTTGTGGTTTCTGGGCTTGTTGTGGAGTTTGCAATGCAGGCAGGACCTGGAACTGGAGCATTTGTCATCAGCCGGGAATATTAGACAGCTACCAACATCACTCGTCACATGCCAGGGCGCTTCTTCAGAACCTCGCCCTTCTCCAGTGCCTGCGACATGTGCAGAATCAGTCATGAATCTTCAGGCCCGGCAAATTGTGAAACTTATTGGGCAGGGCTTGATGGGCTTGGGGACAGCACTGTTTGACGATCAACTCTTGCCCTGGGCCAGCTTGGTCCTTCATCAACGGATGCTTGTAGAGGATCCGGCGTGTTGTGGTCAGGTCGCGAGGAAAAAACATTGTTCCTCTTATCCTAAACTCCTATCCTTACAGAAACCCAGGTAACCCACCTTCAGCCGTGATGGAGCACGAGGATCCTTCACTAAGCCCTCGATCACCGCTCACAGCCTTCTTCAAGGTCTTCTCCTTCACACCGCGATCAAGCACCATGCCTTGGCTCTCTGGCATCCACTCCGTTTTCTTGCTTCTTTCTATCTGATTACACAATACTATACAATATTATGTTATACTATACTATACTATACTATACTATACTATACTAAACTATACTATACTATACTATACTATACTATACTATACTATACTATACTATACTATACTATACTACACAATACTATACTATGCCATACCATATGTGATGAACGCAAGTCTCCTTCACGGGGGATCTCGTCTACCCCAGCTGTCGCCCCTCATGGCAGAGTTCACCAACAAGGCCCATCACGTTGAGCTGATGTAGAAAGGGCCTTGGGCCTAAGAGTCTGAGATGTTGAGACTCCGGGGGGCCTGTGCACCTTTAACTTATGCTTTGTTTAGTTATTTACCTTCAAAAAATGCCAGAAGGCTGTAGGGAGGCGGTGGTTAGGGCTTAGGGCACATTTGATGGCTGGTGCGGAGGGGCTGGGGCTTGCTTCGGGGTGAGACGAGCCACGGAAGTCCGTCAAGCTCAGTCTCTTCACCGGCATCATGTGTCGGCGGACCTGGACATTCCGGGGTTGCAGGTCGTCTAGTCTGGAGCTTGGAAGCTGGAATTACGCTCCACAGGCAATCGGCTCTACGGCTACTTGGAGGATCATGGGACTTAGTAAGTAAGGTTATAAGTCCCTTCATTGGGATTATAAGTATAGTTACCCTGGGATTATAAGTATAGTTACCCTAGTTATAACCCTTCTTACTAAGTCCCATGATCCTCCAAGTTGGATCCACAGAGGTCGGCACGTGGCCAGGCTACATGAGTTTCTGAGTGGTCTGGCTGGCTGGCTGGCTTGCTTGCTAGAAGAACAAAGCACTAGTCAAGCACAAACATCTCGCAACGTCACAGATTCGCTAAACAAATCGAGAAGACCTGAACTTTGTGTTTTCAACGTTGGACCAACATCCGCCACCAGACTGTCACTGTGTTTACATGACCGAAGCCTGCATCCAGAAAACACGCACAAAAACGCAGCCCCAGTGTTGGACCCAAAAACCTGACTCAGCCCTAAACCCTAAACCCTAAACCCTAGGATTCTGATGGAAGTCTGCTGTGAGGATCCGGCACCCGTGAGGCTCTCTGGGCCATCCACAACCACTCCTTGGAAGCCACAGGTTTGCTTATATAACTCACGTGGTGTAAGGTTGGGAACATTGAGTATTTTGGGGGTTTCGGGCGAAGGACGTAGTCAGTAGGAGGGCCTGGGGAACATCAAAGCCAGCGCAATGTCAGATGTTGCATGTGTCGAGGTGCGCCCGTGCCTTATCAACGCAGACAGACTGGGCCCACTACTTGGAGGATCATGGGACTTAGTAAGTAAGGTTATAAGTCCCTTCATTGGGATTATAAGTATAGTTACCCTAATTATAACCCTACTTACTAAGTCCCATGATCCTCCAAGTAGGGACTTCGAGGGCCAGCCCGTGAACGAGTTTTGGTGCTGTTACAAGGACCCTAAACCCTAAACCCTAAACCCCTAAACCCTAAACCCCAAGGAGGCCGCCTTACGACAAGTATGGAACCTTCACACAAACAGAACACTTCAGGAAATCGAAACCCACACTTCTTCAAATCCTTAGGCCAGCTCGGCCTAGGAGCCTTTGATCTAGCCGTCTCAAACATGACTTTTTGGGGTACCTCCCACCACCAAGTAGTCAGACCCCTGTAGTACTGCTGCCTGGCAGCTTTTCTGGTCGACGATGTCCACAATTGTGCACCTCTCCGGGAGTTTGATACCAGGCTTTCTCAAAGCACTGCTAGGGTTGCCGAGGTTGACGGGCTCGGGGGTTCGGTATGAATTATCGGAAACATCATCACCACCACAATCACCATCACCATCACCATCACCAGCACCACCACCACCACCACCAGTGCTCCTCTTCTGGCATCATCCTCCCAATAGCATGCTCACAAGAATTTGATCACAATCCTGTTCATGTTCATCCTGGTCACAAGAAGTGGTGGCGGAGGCAAGGCTAAGCCCACTCCAAGCCCTGAGATTGGATGGTGTGCACCCTAAACCCTAAACCCTAAACCCTTAACCCTAAACCCTAAACCCTTAACCCTACACCCTTAACCCTAAACCCTAAACCCTAAACCCTACAGGCCATGGCACATCTTGCCGGCGCAAGGGCCGAAGGTGATGAGCGCCAGGCGGCCCGGCTGCACAAAGCGGGTGAACATGGACTTCTGGGCCATCTTTGCCTGGGAGCTGGGGTTTACAGTTTATGTAATATAGTTGTATATATAATCCAAGACACTATAAGTAGACCGTATTCTATACTTTACTAAACTAGAATATATAATACCACTAGTAGTGTAGGGTTGCGATATGTTGCGACATAGGTTTCCTTGAGGGCAGCGGTCGGGAACAGAACTTGACCTGCACAGGCCCATCATCTTGAGACTGCAGCTATGCATGTGTAACCCTTGAAGATGGGAGCCGAAGTTGAAGTTGGGAACTTGGACACCCGTGATGCCGGGACTTCATCTTACCTGACTCTGTGCAAATTAACAACATAAGAAAACCCATCCAACCTTCGGCCTCAACCGCCTGCCCTCCTCTGTGGCCAGGAGGCGATGTGCCGAGGGGAAGGAGGGTGCAGGGCGGGGGAGAGCTGAAATGGCTGCAGAGGCTACCCGAAAAGGGCATCATGCAGGGCTCTTGGTGCTTGCATCGGACAGGGAGCAGTTGGCCAGATCGAACGTTTGGGGTTTCTGGGGCAGGCCTTCGTGCAGAATTCACACACACCACGACGTCCTCCTTAGCCCAACAACCAAAACAAAACTCAAGGCCCAAGACCCAAGGCCCATTTCCTCCTGAGATGCTGGTGCACTGAATCCTCACCGACTCGACTCATCCCTCGGATGCAGACCGAGTCCTTCAAGGAGGCGAGGAAGATGACCCGATTCTCTCCTCGGGCAGTCACAAGCCCCGTGTCGAAGAATTCTTGAAGCATAGAGGCGTACCCCATATTGAAAATCAGATACCATTACTTTGAAGGGTACCGCAGGGTTGCCATAAGGTTACTACAAAGGGGTACCACTTTCAAAGGCTGAGTCCCAATAATTCCGGTGCGACAACCGGGTCCCGAGCTCATGAGACGGCCGATTGCAAGCCCGTCCCAGAAGATGGCGTAGATTGCCCTGAGCTCGGAAAGCAAACGATGTTTCATCGCTTGCTTGGTTTAACATCGAACCAGATGCCCAAGGCCTACTCCACTCTCCTGCTTGGCTCCGTTTTCTGCAACCGGCAACAGGCGAAGGACTGGCGCTTCGATTGTGCAATATGGGAACTTATGAAGAGGAACTAGTCTGTTCTCATGTTTCAGCGTCTCCCATGTGAGGGTGAGGGCAGCCGTGCGCTCGAAGACGGGCGAAGATATATAATCCCACAACGGAGAACACTATATCATGTCGTTCTGCCTTGCCTCTTACTTTCTGACACCCGGCGTCTGCCTTCCGAAGGACATCGCTAATGGAAGAGAGTTCGCAACATCGGTCAATGAAACCCTAAACCCTAAACACTAAACCCTAGACCCTAAACCCTAAACCCTAAACCCTTAACCCTAAACCCTGAAACCATTTTCTTGGGTGCCCCCGCGAAAGGCACAGCCATCGCGTGGGCAGCCAGCACGCGGCCACCAGCAGGAGGGCGACCTGCCATGCCGTTCCATTCAGATGTTTAGGGTTTAGGGTTTAGGGTTTAGGGTTTAGGTTTAGGGATTATCACTCCATTTTCGCAGTGCTACAACCCTATTATAGAAGTACCAGAACCCTAATATAGTAATCATGTACTGGCCGCAATAAACTCCCCTCAAAGAGCACATGGATCCCTCTCCGCCTGATCTAAAACCTCGGTTCGGAGGTTTTCGGAGGTGTGAAAAGTAACACGAGAGAGCCGAAGGTGTTTGTTTTTGAAAAACCTAGACTCTATTAAGCCTAGGGCTTAGGGCCGTTTAAGGCCTAGGGTTCAGGGTTAGGGTATATGGTTCAAACGGTGCCAAGATCGACAGGCATTGGACAGCTTTGGCAGGAAGGAGGGATTCTGCGTCCTGGCCTGGGTTGTCGGGCTTTGCAAGACTCGTCGGCGTGCTTGGGTACCCAGGATAGAACGCTGGCGTCTGCTCGGTGGGAACGTCAGATTAGATCATTTTTCAGGACGACCTGCCCCGACACACCTACGGAACACAACAGAACCATCTGATGGCAGTCCCGGCCAGGGGCGCCTATTGAAGATCAGCACTGCATCATAGTGTAATCGAGGTCGGGCTCTATAGTTATGACCAAACCCTTATACAGCAGCAGTCCGATGTGTCCTTAGAGCCTACTGTAAGTGCATACTGGGTGCGGCCCGATGACAGCTCGCACCGTGTAGTACCCCACTTTAACAGAAGTAGCACAGGTCGAAAACCCACTTCATGCCATCACAGCAACATTTCAGAAACGTCTTTAATCGCATCAGCCCATGACTCCAATAACCGTGACGCGAGCACAAAGACCAGTGCAAAGTTCTGCGTTGGCAAAGTCCTCGGGCGAGGTCGGCACTTGCAAGAAGCTTCTCCGCAGTTCTATGGCACAGCTGCAATGGCTAGGCGGCTGGGGCCTTCCATGTCAATGTGGGCATGAGGATGCAGTTGGATTCAACAACCGGCAACTGCCCTTTAACGGCGAAGCACGCCCCCAGCAGCAGGTTCTTCCGACGCTCGTACCAGTCCATCCAGTACCTCAGTGGACGGGAATCGGGCCTGAAATCGCAAAAGTGAAAACACCTTCCTAGCTTCAGCCACACTTTGGATACTCACGGTTTCTTCTGCTGCGTGTATTGTCAGCAAAGCTCAACCCAATATTGAACAATCTATCGCTTGAAGTTCACACAAACTAAGAAATGGCTACGAACAAGCAACGAAGACATTTTGGATAATATTGATACTGATCAGCCTGTGCCTGTGCACAGCAACAGTATGGACATGGATGTAGATCAGTAGTAGTAGCAGTAGCATTCATTCCCCACGCTGCGGTCTGTCCGAAGGCCGCATAGCGAGCCGGCAGGCACCTCAATTTAGAGGAGCTGGAGCCTCATGGGCTCACGAGAGGCCGTTTGGCCGTCCTCGTCCCTATGACTCAGATCCGGATTGAGATCTGGAGCCTAATTGAAACTGAATCCTCACAGCGCGGCTCACGTGTCAGCGCCTGGCACGAGGTAGAGCCAGACTATGTAAGCATTGGCATCCGGTGTGCTTTGCACATGTTTGGCTGCAGCGTTGTCATCAGTGACCCAAGAGCGGGTATCTCCGAACTCTTTTTGTCCTTTCAGCACCGCCCGGTAGTGTCCCCCGTCCGGGCGCTCGCCAAAGTGAGCCTGGTAGGCAGCTGGTTGGTAGGAAAGGAGCGCAACTTCCAGACCCGGTCCGCGGAACATGGGGACATGAATGGGGCCGTAATGGCCTCGAAGAGGTCGGATGTCTCGCGTTAATCGGCCGTCCGGATTGGCAAACCTTAGCACTTGCAGTATCAGGATGGGTGGCGGCGGGTGCAAGAGACCTCGGATTGCTGCTTGTGCGCGCCACTGGTCGACGCTCCATTGGAGGTGGCAGTGATCCCCCTCGTTGGTAGCGAGAGGGATCGGGCTGCGCAAGTCGCCACTGTCAAGAACACGGATGCTGTGATCTCTGAGTTCCCTGGCCTGCCATGCTCCCATTTCTGGCCCCGGCACGATCCTCGGTAACAGGTAGTGGATGAACTCTGCCGCATCATGCTGTTGATGCATGTGCCTCCACTGCTGAAGCAGCAGAGACCATTGCAACCCCGTTGTGACCTTGGTGACGTGTTGGGACGGCTTTGGAAGGCAGAATGATTGTAGGCACGGGGCTATGGCCAAAGTAGTGATCCCATGTAGCCGAGCCTGAAGCATGGTCCAGAGAAGACAGCTGATAGTAGAGTTGATGTAGCATAACGAGGTGGAGTTATGCAAGGATAGCTGGAGTATGGCCTTGAGGGCCTTGATGGTGTCTGGCCGGTTCACCATCGGTTCAGCTGGTAGAGCTCCTCTATCGTATTGTCGTAGTGGGGTCTGTCCTTGCGCAATCTGCATCCGATGGTGTGCCATGCAGCCTGTCCCACCCATTCCTGTGGGATCGTCCAGATCGGGGTTCCCGTCGGCCGTAGTGACACTTCGATCTGGAATTGTATCCACTGTGCCGTGGGCTGGGGCACCAGCTTCCGAACGCTCTTGAAATGATGCAGGTTGTCCTCCGTGACATTCTTCCGGATGTCCACCAGCTGTTGCAGGAGGTCCTGCGTGGACTTGGAGGGCGCTGTCTCCACCGCTTCGAGCTTCTGAGTCTCGTGACTCCAGCGGAGCACCCTCCAGTGGCCGTGCTCGTCCAGCCACCCCAACTTTTTGGCCTCCTGTAGGGCCTCCTGATTCGCCGCCGTAGCCTCCAGCCTTTCGTGCAGCGTCAGAAGAAGCTTTTTGAACATCGCAATCTTGAGGGAGTACGTGAGCTTGTGGGGCTCCTGCTCCTTCATCTCCCTCCAAACTTCTGCCGTCCTGAAGAGGACCGGTATGATTCCCCCCCCCCGTCTCGCCCCCTTTCACGAAGAGGTGCATGACCAGGTCCTGGCGAAGGGATGCAATCGTTCGCTCCTGACGGAGCACCACCTGTGTGAGCTTGTGGAGGTGGTCCTGGGTCTTTTCGCCCGCCCATTGGCTCGAGCTGTCGCTGGTCCACGGTGCCATGGGTGGCTCTGAACCACCTGTGTAGTCCTCCCAGCTGTGGTTGTTGGTCCAGGGGCTCATCGGACTTTGCTTGCTTTTTCCTTTGCCCTTTCCTTTGCCCTTGTGCCCCGTCTTGCCCTGACTTTTGCCTTTGCCCTTCCCCCGGCTGCTCTCCGTTCCCGCTGTGCGCTGGCTCTTCTGTCTGTCGTCTTCCTCCTTCGGGTCTGAGCTCCGCTTCTGGGAGAACCGGTTGAAGAAGTGCGACTCCTCCAGGTCTAAGTCCATGGATATCCTTTCTGCCGAGGGAGACATGGCGGGCTTGCAAGAATGCACAGATGCTAATGATTGGGCATTGGAACCAATGTCTATCCTTGTTCACCGCACTTTGACCGCAGTACCTGCAGGGAAGGACAGTGTGTCTGCGAAAGCTCCTCATGAGCTGCCTGGCTTCGGCGCGGTGCTCGAGCCAGCTGGGATGCTGGGTAGCCAGGTGGCGCTTGAGACTGGTGGTATCGGCATGCCATTGTGTGCAGAGCGGGCAACAGTGGCGCAGGTAGGCCTGGACGTGCTGGTTAAGCAGGAGGCTCTCCCAGCTATACCTCTCGAGAGCCTCCCGAATAGAGGGCCACTGGTGGAGGGGCTTGTCTTGGGGGATGGCCTCTGCTGCTGAGGACTCTGAAGTCTTGGCGTGCCTTTGTTCCGGATCTTCACGCAGGACATGGCACCTGTTCCAGCGAATGTGCTGGGATAGATTGTGCCAACGGCGGAAGTCATGTCTACAGAATGAGCAGATTGGTAGGCCGCCCGACCCATGCACCATCTTGTCGAAGGTGGGTCCATTCTCCTTTTGGGTTTTCTTCTGATGGTACGCTGCTTCGTGAACTCGGAGGAGGCGGAAGGTCCGAAACTGCTGTCCGCAGTCTCTGCATGCATGATGGTGAACTCCCAAGTCTCCTAGGTCTGCCGTGTCAGTATAGATCTGAGCCGCTTGTAGGGCCGCTGCCGTCTCTCGTACCCGATCCCGAACTGCTGGCTGCATTGGGTGCTGTGCCTGTTCCAGGCGTAGAAGGGTCTGGGAGAGGGCCGTGGCTTCGTGAAGGAGCCTCTTGTGAATGGGTGCCACCTGCAGTCGGGCCAGCAGATTGAGCGTGGATTCCTTGCTGATATGCGCAAAAGAACGGGCAATGGCACGTAGGTGTCGAGTGGCGACGTATTGCATTTGCTGCACATCCTTGGTACCTGGTGATGAGGCTGAGACTCCGTACACCAGGGTGGGGAGGACCGTTGCACTCCACAGCCGGACCCTGTCCTGCTCAGACAAATAGCTGCGGGAGCACAGAATGGGCCTCAGTCGTTGCCAGGTTCCATTGGCTTCTCGAATTCGGTGAGCAACTGTCTGTTTGGGCGCGGAATGATAACTAAGTATCACCCCAAGATAGGTGTGCTGATCCTTGACAGGAAATTCGAATAGCCTGGACCGCGGGGTGCGGATACGAAGGTGGTCACCCTCTGGGGTACGGACCGTATGTTGCCTCAGCCATTTCCTCGCGAAGTGTCCTCTGTACCGAATAAGGAAGGCCGACTTTTTAGCGTTGATGCACATACCGTGGTCTGCTAAGGAGTCCAGGATCGTGGCAAATCTGAAGCTCGCTCTATCTAGGGCTTGGTAATTCTCTGCTGTGTCCTGTAGCAGAAAATCATCCGCGAAGGTGGTGGTGCCTTGCCCAAGCCATTGGGTATCCAGAGACGATGCAAGCTGTTTGTGCATAAATGCTGTGAGGAGTGCCCATAGCAATGGAGCGAGTTTGCATCCTTGGCGCAATCCCCTGGACGCTTCCGCCTGCGCTTGCTGGCCCAGATGGTGGATGTGATAGGTGATGCCATCATACCAGGATAAGGCCCACGCGCGGAGGTCATGGGGAATGTCGGCGTCCTCCAGTGCAGCCTGGATCAGCCCCCAATCCGCAACATCGAACGCGCTTGTTAAGTCTAGCGATAGTTGGCATCCGGCGAATGCCCTCTGCTGCCGCGGTCGGTTCTCGTAAGCGTCCATCACCGTCCTTGACTTGCATTCGCAGGCTTGCTGGACCAACAGATTGTGGTGTTGGGCCCGGGCTATCGCCACGCCAGTGTGCTTCTCCCGTAGATAGGCGTATTGGGGGACCTGTTGAAGATACCTCTCCACGTACGGCCGCAAGCGCTGCTGTAAAATGTGGGAGAGGGCGCGGCCGCTGGCCTCGGTTAACCCGATGGGTCTTAAATCGCGTGGAGAGACGATCCGCAGCTTTTTCGGTATCAAGACTAACCAGGCATCCTTCCACAAGCCAGGCACGGCCCTTAGGTTGTTAGCCCATTGGGTGAGGGAGGGGGCCAGGAGGTCCGAGCAGCCCTTCCACATCGCGGTCGAAGCTAAGTGGGGTGGTGTGGCTTTGTGGGCGATCAGGCTAGACAGGGCCTGCTGAACTTCGGTCTCCACAACCTCAATGCGGAGCAGAGCCTGTGCCGTTGGTGGAGGCTTCTGAGGGTCTCGCTTGTAGACCTGCTGGTAGTGCGTGCGGAGCTGTTGTATTTGCGCCTCCGCCGATTGCAGGTACCCTTCTTTATCCTTGAGTTGGACCTCACTCCTCTTCTTCTTGGGTGCCATTGTGCGCATACCCGCGAAGAGTGCACGCATGTCCTTCCTAGCAGCCGCCTGTTGCAAGTCCTGCAGCCGATTACTGAACCACTGTTTACGGGCCTGCTTACCTGCCTTTCTGAAATCCCGCTGCGCCTGCCGGAACGTCGCATAGCTGCGCCACGCCCCGAAGATGGCTTCTCGCCCTCGCCGGGCTTGGCGCTTCCACTGTGCATACGCTTGCCACATGCCTTTGATTCCAATATGCATGGGCTGGGTTTGCCACGCCGCCAGCCGCTGTGGGCGGGTTTGTGGAGGGAAAACCTGAGAAGCACACCTACACAACAGGGCATTCATAGCTGGGGCATCCACGGCCTCGGATAGGCCGGCAGCGACGGCCTGTCTGAAAGCCTGCAATTGTGGTGAGTGCGGGCAGCGGAGGCTGCTTATGAGGTCCCATTGGTTCCATGCTCTCTTGGGCTGCTTGGGCTTATTGAGGCTGTGAAAGCGATGTACCGGGAGACTGCAGAGAACCGGGAGATGGTAGCTTCCCTGTCTCCATGCCGCAAGGGATGTCTTGATCGGCTTGGCTGTTTTGGCTCTCTGGTCACACTGCGACTTTCGCAGTAGGACATGGTCGATGAGGGCCTGACCTTTGGCGTGGTAGTAGGTCGCCCCGGCATGTCTTTGCCAGGAGTTGACTTGGATCATGTGATGGTCCTCGAGGGCGCGAAGGAGAGAGCTTTGGTCAGTTGGGGGTTTGGTGTCCTGCTGGGCACACTTGGGTCCTGCACAGGCACCCTCCCGGAGAGGGCAATTGAAGTCACCTGCCACCAGGACCGTGTGTCTCTGCGGCGCCCTCGTTAGCAAGGCCTCGAGGGCCTGCCACACTCGTCTGCGCAGGGCCCGAACCTCTTCGGCGGTGTCCTTACCTTGGCCGATTTGTCGCTGGTAAACATTGTAGGTGTCGAGTGTCCAGTCCGGCCTTTGAAGTCGGACATGTAGTAGGCGGCCTGGGACCGGGTCTGAGTGGAGCAATTGTCCGGTGCTGCAGAGGCCTCGATCTATGAGGGTGACCACTCCTGCTGACTGATTGTCGGTGGCGGGTGACGTGATGACCTTCCAGCGACCCGAATGGAACGTCTGGGCACATTGGTCTCCCCAATGGCTTTCTTGCAGCATTACAACCTGCGGCCTGTGCAGCGGGTCAAGATGCTCAAAGTAAAGAAGGAGTTCATCCCACAGGGGTCCTGATAGGCCGCCGCAGTTCCAACTGAATAGCAGTACCCTGTCCGGATCACGGGCCAAGGGCGTCGGCCTGGGAGGTGTAGGCTGCTTCCTCGCGTCTTGGCGGTGGGCTCCAACATAGCTCTTATGTAGTTCTCGGAGAGTGACGGGCCGTCCTCGGTATGTTGTGTACTGCTCGGGATGCCGAGCAGCTCTTCTGAGTGCCCGCTTATAGGCTCTCTTCCGAATTGCGGTGTGCTCTGCCCGAGGCGGTGGCACGCTGCTGGTAGCTCCGCTAATATGCAGGTCCTGCTGCGGGAATGCATTTGCTGCCGTAGTTGGTTGAGCTTGGATGGCCAGGCCTATGAGTAGTCCTTGCCACCAACGGGGCCGCTGTCTCCGCGGTGGGCCTGAGCGTAATGGGTAGGTTCGGCGTGGAGGTCTGTTGGGGCATGGATCGACTGAGTCCGTTGCCGCGTGGCAGCTGTGCGCACATGGATCGGGTAAGGTGTGTGGGAGATGGGCTGCGGTTGGGGCTGGATGCAGGGCTAGAACGGCTCGATAAAGCTGGCCCTGCTTCCTAAACACCATCAAGCGATTCCATTTGTCGCCTCTTGGCATCCGCCGCAGTCTCTCGAGTAGGCTCAGTTTAATTGCCGAGTGACGGGGGGCACCGGCGTTCAAGGACGGGCCCCGTGGGGCTGCCGCCCATCTTTGAGGGCTGATATCAGTTTCTGGCTCATGTCTAGGCTTCCCAGACAATAGTCTAAATAGGCCCCTCGCTGGGCTCAGTGGTGCGTGACGTACACCACCAACCCTCACCCCTATCAGCCAAGGCAGACGGAATCTTCCAATTTGCAGGGGAGGCCCCAAGGCAAGGAGGAAGGTCTGTAATTCAGGCTGATCTCCGGCATTGGGACCGGAGTAGCTCGGTTGACTTTGTCGATTGTGGGGTGTGGTGCGGATGGCTTGCTCTCTGCGGCTCATGTGTAGTGCCGGTGATTCTAATCGGTCTGGGGGCCTCCACCATGGGGTGGGCTGCCTAGTCCATCTCCTGAAAGTGAAACAGACTAGCCGGGCTGATGAGCTCAGTCGTCTCCCTGTCCGGAAACGTAGGGGCAATGTCTCGGGCCTGGTAGTACTCCGGTATCTTGTTAACAGGCGACCGGTGTCCTGGGCCCGAGCGGGGCTGAGTGCCTTTCGTTCGCCACCTGTCCGAGCGGGACTGGGGCTGGCCACCAGCCGGGGTGCGTGCCTCGTAGTGTTCCCGACATAGACGGCAGCTTGGACAGGCCAGTCTGGTTGCCGTCCAAGGATTTTCGTCCTGGTGTCCGTGATCCAGGGGCCCGGCACAGGTCTGGATGCTATCGTCCTGCGAAGGAGGTCTGCAGCTCCTGTGTCGGGGTTTGCAGGTACTTCGATGGGCGCTACCACCCTCGACGTGAGGTTCTGGGCTCTTGACTGCGCGCAGACCAGGCATAGCTTTTCGTGCTGGTAGCAGTCGGGCCAACCCTGGAGCTTCAAAACAGACTGCCGAGAGGGTCCCTGTTGAGCCTCTGGCGGCAGTCCTGCTGCCAATGGAGTAGGCACACCTGGATCGGATTCCAGGTCACATCCAGCGCAATCCGCTGTTGCTGGGGCCATTGCCGGAATAGAGGTAGGAGTGCGGGGCGGCGGTCTGCGCCCTTTCCAAGGGACAAGCCATGTTAAGGCAGCATTTGGGACCGGGGGACAGATAGAACATGCCTGCCAGGATGTTCTGCGCGGCCGTGGTAGGGCTGGCACGCCGAGCCCGCAGTGACCTTGGAGCACGCTTGAATCGGATCTCGTTAGACCTTAACATGTTGGGTCGTTGGTCGGCGGGCTGCATGTATTCTCCCTTCTTCCCAATCGCGGTCTGGTCGGTTTTTGGTCCCTGCTTTGGGTCCGGCGAGTCTCGCTCATCCTCGGAGGTGAGAAACCAGAAGGGTCGCTTGCGCGGCCTGGGTGGGTCGGCCTCCTTGTGGCCACTGCTCCGCCTTGCCTTCTTCGGCAGCGTCTTGTCCTGGGGCTTGGTGATCTTCTGGGTCAGCTGCATCCGTCGCCGGGTGATTCTGGACGTCAGGGTCACTGGCTGTCGTGGCTGTTTGTTCTCCGGTTCCTCCTCCACCTCCACTTCCACTTCCACGTCCTCGACCATCGTCTCCGTTGGCGGGGTGGACTCGTCCGTACCTCGGCTTTCCGGCTTCTCGGTTCCTGCCTTGTGGGGCAGTTCTTTTGAGCCAGAGGCCCTGACCTGGCCGTCCTTGGCGATCTTCTGACCAACTTGTCCTCCGGCGTCAGCCGGGCCACCTCGTAGCCTTGGCAGTGGGGATCTGGAGCCTGGTTGGTTGGCCTTGACGTTGCTGAGTCGGTCTTCTCCAGAGTGAGGCGGGTCACGGTGTTGGCCTTGGACCTCCTTGTCCGGTCCACGGCTTCCGATGTCGGCGGAGCGGGCTCCGGTAGCTTGGCCTTCGGCTCCAGAAACCGCTGGTTTGATCCTTCCCCTGACCTTCGGGGTTGGGAAGCAGTCTGGGCTCCGCCTTCGTCTCCTCGGTCTCCTTCCGCTTCTCCAGCTTGTCTTCCGTGGAGGCCGTCATCTTCTGGAGGGTCCTCCGGGGGACTGTAGACAATATTGGCTTTGTCCACTGTCCATATCTTCTGTTGCATGGCCGCAGTGCCCTCCAGCAGCTTTATGTTGAAAGAGGACCCGGTCGGGCGCTTGTCCCGCAGAATCAGGCCTTTGCAGCCAATAATGCGATGATGCGCTCCACCAGTTATACGGACTTCCGTCCCTGGAGTCAGCTCTTCCATCCGGCATATGGTGGAGGAATCTAAAGGCACCGGGAGGATGCGCGGAGGCCTTTTCCCCATGGTGCCTGAGGGAGGTAGCCTCGGCGTTGGCCCTGAAGTTGGGCCGGAAAACTGCTGCGGTCCAATGCTGTGCATGGCTGCTTTGGAGCGGCGGCTTATGGGCAGGCTGCACTCTCTCTGTAGGTCCATTAGGCTCCCGGCGTGCCGGCTGAGAGTTGGGAGGGGTCGGCTGTGACGGCCAACTCCGTTTCGTTCGGAGTCCTCGAGGCTGAGTCTCCTGAGGCGCACGCCTACTGTCTGACGTACTGCGACCTTGCATGGGCCAATGCCTGGGCATTGCGGATAGGCCCGGGAGGCCTGCCTGCCGTCATCCGCCATGAAGACCTGAGTCAGTCGGGCAGTTCGAGGCGGCGAAATCCTAGCCGATGTGGCAGCTGCTGCTCGAGTGGGGAGAGGCCTGTTTTTCTGACCCTCCTTGGAAGAGTCTGGCGGTGAACTTGCCGAGCTGCATCCCCAGCTCCGCCTGCTCGGGAAACACGGCCCTGTGCCTCATCCTTCTGGACCCGGAGGTGGATGCGGCTCGATGCAGATCGTGATCTTCCAGCCTCCACCCCAGCCTGGCACCGCGCCCGCGGTCTTCGCCTTGGCCACCACCGTCGGAGGTCGAGGGCTCGGCGCCTTGCTGGACATCGCCACGGAGCCGATGTTTGGTGCTCCTGAGGAGATCTTCGGCCCAGGTGGTGGCCCTGTTGCAGGTAGAGCCGGCACGGCCGGGCGAGGCGCCGCATGGAAGGGCGACGGGAGAGGTGAAGCCATTGCTGTCGCCAGGGCGGCTGGCGCCGCCGTTGGACCCGGGGTTGTCGACGGGTCCGCTGCTGCCTCCATGGCCGGGCATGGCATCGCGTGGAAGGGCGATGGGGGAGGCGGTGCCATAGTAGCCGTCGGACTCGGCACTGCCATAGCCGGTTCCGTTGCTGCCAGGGCCTGCATTGGCGTACTCGGCATAGTCGTGGAGGCCTCACCTACGCTCGTCGTTGCAGGGAGTGCCGGGGCTGGCGGTGGTGGCCCCGAGGCTGGTGAGCGACTCCGATCGCCACTTCCTCTGCCTCGGACAGGGACCGGTGCTGGCGGTCCGTTCGGCTTCGCACGGGCTGCCAGGGCCGGAGCTGCCGACGTCGCCTCTTCGCTCTCCGAGCTGGTAAACCCAGAGATTTCCGAGCTGGCAGGATCTGAGTCTCTAGCAACCTCCTTGGCCTTTGCTTTCTCCCTCGATCTGCTTGGAGCTTTGGCCTTCGCCGCCCTGTCACCTCGAGGCATGGCGGCTGCACTGGAGGCCTCCCTAAGACGTCGATACTTTGAGCCCAGCAGACAGCAGGTGGTTGAAGCTGGGGCAATTGCGGGGCTGAGTGCAATGCAGCAGGTGGGCTGAGCTCAGGCGCTGGCAAACACGGCTGTAAGGTCGCTGCAAAGAGAGCTATGAGCCAGATGGTGGCTGGCTTGCAGATTGCCATCATGCACACTACAACACAAAACTGAATCTAATCCAAGCTGAGAGCCAAG